CCTACCTGTGTGACCTTGGGCAAGTTCCTGAACCACTCTGAGCTCTGTTTTCTGTCTCTATAGTGAAGACTGATGACAGCATCCCCCCCTGCCAAGGTGGTCGGGAGGATTAAATAATGCGGGTACAGCCAGTGTCTAGCACGCGACTGTCGTCTCCCCCGCTATAAACGAACACCTCACCCTGCCGGAAGGACTTATCCAACCCGAGGCTTCGGGCTATCTAAGACGAAACCTTATCATCATTCACTGTGCACACTCCTTCAACTGTGTCCCCAGGGCATTCCCCATTCAGTCCCGCCTTTCCACCCACACTTCCCACGGATACCAACATCCACCTTCTCCGACAGATCCGCCCTTCCGGCCCCTCCAGATGCCCCTTCTGGCATCTGTTCTGTCAGCTCAGCATCCCCTTTTCTGTTGGGGAACTGACGCTTCCCCATCCCATGTGGTTCTGGAGGAACTGTGTCCCTCACTCCACAGGGTGGCAGGAGACAAGATGTGGGCATGTGACTCTAGAGAGCCAAACCTGGCTCCCTATCTCAATGCCCCCAGTAATTGGTCCTAGGTGGTGGACATGTGACTCAGCAGAGCCAATCAGAATCGTTCTAGAAGAGTACTATAAAGGCTGAGAGAGAAAGGGGCACTCTCTCCCAACTCAACTTTCCTCCCATAAGGAATTAGGATGTAAGGGTAACTGGCAGCTGTCTTTACGCTATGTGGAGGGAGACTGTGGCAGGAGAGAATGAAGCCAACTCACAGAGTCATAGAGATAAGCAGCACTGAAAGAGGGAGTGAGAGAGTCTTAGCAACGTTGTCTGGGCCCCTGGATCCAGCTATTCCTGAAGCTGATATTAACCTCTAGGTTCCTTTAATGAACTCCCTCCCACCTTTGACTAGCCTGGGTAAGTATTTGAGTTGAGTGACTGTCACTTGCAACTCAGTCTTGGTTACTGCAATGGGTGACTTAGTGTGCTGAATGGAAACACTTAAATCATCCTGAAGCTTCCATGAGTCAGGCCCTGTGCTGGTGTGAAAGATAGACAAAGTCAGACACTAGTTAAAGTGGTAAGGACAGGTTTTCATCAGTAACATGCTATTGCAGTGTAAATCGAATGCAACTCTGCTTTGTACAGAGGTGACTGGGTGTTTTAAAGGGAGCAGGAGGGAGTGGAGGGAGAGAGAATGGCGGTGGCTTGAACAGACTCAGGGAAGTGAAAAATTACAAAGCGTCGGTCAGTGTAAATGCTGAGTAGGCCAGCTGTGTGTGCTAGCTGGTAACAGTTGAAGTTAGGTGCCTGACCTCCCCCAGGGACTGCGAGATGGAGGCCGGATCCTTCCTGAGCATTGCTCTTTGAAGGAATGGCTCTCAGGTCTCCAGAGTTGTAGAAGACACAAATACATTTCAAAGGGGCAGAGGAAGATTCCCAACTGTAAGCCCTTTTTAGTAAATGCTTCTGGGGGGGGCGGGGCTCTGCTCAGGTGGTGGCTAAAATAAACAGTAAATCCTTTTGGCATCCTGAGCCCTCTCAGGGAGGCCCTTTAAGGGGGACTGGGGTCATCCTAGGGCTGCGACCTTGAGCTGTTAGAAACCACCTTAGTGGTTAAGTGTTTTGTTTTGTTTTAAGATTTTATTTATTTGACAGAGAGAGACATAGGGAGAGAGGGAACACAAGCAGGGGGAGTGGGAGAGGGAGAAGCAGGCTTCCCGCGGAGCAGGGAGCCCAATGCGGGGCTCGATCCCAGGACCATGGGATCATGACCTGAGCCGAAGGCAGATGCGTAACGACTGAATCCCCCAGGCGCCCCAGTGGTTGTTTTAAGGCAGGGGAGGGACATGGACAAAATCGTGGTGAGAGCCCATACGTAGTAGGGCTCTGATGGGCCCAGGTTGAGTCCTAGTTGAGAAGAGGGCCCAGGGGAGCCTGACTAGAGTTTGGTCGAGGAGCGAGTCTTTGTCTCTGGGCATTGGGCACACACCCGCCTGGCATTTGTCGGGGAATGATCCCCTTCGATCGGCCACGAGCACCTAGACTGTTCTTTGGGGAACCACTCTCCTCGATTGGGTGCAGCCTTACTAGTGCCTCAGGAGCACCGAGGGCATGGTCGGCGGTTACGCCGGGACAAAGCCGGACGCCCAGCCGCTTCTCCCTGGCCTCCTGCTCGTGCCTTTGTTCCTTTGCTTTGCGGCAGCTACAGGGGGCAGCTTCCTGGCTCTCCCGGGAAGGCCCCTCCAGCAGGGCCCGCTGTCTGCCGTGCCTTTCCATGCTCTTTCCGTGGCTCCCCCACAGCCAGACCTGGCAGCCGTCTTTTTTTTTTTTTTTTTTTAAGATTTATTTATTTTAGAGGAGGGGAGGGGCAGAGGGAGAGGGAGAGAATCTCAAGGAGAGTACCCACCAAATGGGGAGCCCAACACGGGGCTCGATCCTGTGACCGTGAGATCATGACCTGAGCTGAAATTAGGAGTCGGACGCGCCAGTTGGTTAAACCGCTGCCTTCAGCTCAGGTCATGATCCCAGGGTCCTGGGATCGAGCCCCGCATCGGGCTGCCCTGCTTCTCCCTCTGCCTGCCGCTCCCCCTGCTTGTGCTCTCTCCCTCTCTCTCTCGCTCTGTGTGTCAAATAAATAAATAAAATCTTAAAAAAAAAAAGAGTCGGACGCGGGGGCGCCTGGGTGGCTCAGTTGGTTAAGCGACTGCCTTCGGCTCAGGTCATGATCCTGGAGTCCCGGGATCGAGTCCCGCATCGGGCTCCCGGCTCGGCGGGGAGTCTGCTTCTCCCTCTGACCCTCCCCCGTCTCATGCTCTCTATCTTTCATTCTCTCTCAAATGAATAAATAAAATCTTTTAAAAAAAAAAAAAACGCTTAGGGGCGCCTGGGTGGCTCAGTCGTTGGGCGTCTGCCTTCGGCTCAGGTCATGATCCCAGGGTCCTGGGATCGAGCCCCGCATCGGGCTCCCTGCTCAGCGGGAAGCCTGCTTCTCCCTCTCCCGCTCCCCCTGCTTGCGTTCCCTCTCTCGCTGTGTCTCTCTGTCAAATAAATAAATAAATAAAATCTTAAAAAAAAAAAAAAAGAGTCGGACTCTTAACCCCCCGGCAGCCTTGTCTTTTGCTGGATTCAGCTCACACGTCTCCTCTCGTGAGAAGCCTCCCCGCCTGCTTGGGGACACGATGTTGTCTCTTACCTCCACACTGGGGGTGCTCTGCCCTCGCTGAAGTGCGGGCCCCCCCCCCCCCCCCGCCGGCCCACGGCAGGAGCCCTCTCTGCGCTCCCTGCCCACCGCGCACTGGGTCCTAATCTCACACGGGACATCGTCTCTACCATCAGACTGGGCCGCTCCGGCAGGGGGCCTGCTGAGAGCCGTACTCGTGTCTGGGCATGGGGGCGTGGGGGGAATGAGAGCAGGCAGGTACTTCGGCCCAATCTGCCACCTGTCCCCAGGCTGCAGTTGACTGGCCCTCCAGGCTGGGCACATGAATCGACCCGAGGCACCCTCCCCACTCCAGGTCCCCTCATTCAAGGCCCAGTACCCGAAGTGGCTCCAGCCCGTCTCCTGACCCCATCCCTTCTGCAAAAAAAAAAGACACTCTGCTCTTTCCACTTTGCACAAAAATGTATTTCTGTGACATCCCAAAGTACAGACATTTACCCAGGCCCCAGGTGGTAAAGCAACGCGACGTGACCTCTGCCCAGGGTCTGGCTCAGGCCATGTGAGCATGGAGGGGCGGGCCAGCTGTGGCCTGTCTGCCAAGCTTGGGAAGAGCAGGGCAGCCGCCTCCTTCCCAGGGCTGGCAGGGACAGACTTCAGGGGCAGAAGGCCTGGTGCCTCTCCCCTGGGCTGCTCATCCAGCCTGTTCTACCTCCAGGCAGAAACGCTAGCGGAATCCACACACGGGCCCAGGGAAGGAGGAAGGAAGAAAGGTCATCCCCTCGGGGATGCCTGCAGAGTCGGCCCTGCTCCCCCAGCGCTTTATTCTGGGGGGGCCTCCTCGCCGCTGCCTGTCTCCAGAGAAGCAATTCGGAGTTACATCAAGGGAGGACCACAAGATATTTCAGGATACATTTGCAGCTCACACTTCTCTGAAACACAGCACAGAGGTTCCCAAGGTAAAGCCTGGGTGCAGGGAGGAGGGGCTCAGAATGGCCAATGGGGCCACCGTAGGCTGTGCCCAGTGCTGGTCTGGAGGCAGCTACCTGTTGCTGCGGGTCCGGCTGGAGCGGGGACCTCCTGCCTCACCGAGAGACGTGTGGGGTCCTCCGGGCAGCGGGGCGGGGAGGGGAAGGGCAAAAGAGGCCGGCTCAGTTCTGCTGGTGGGGTGCCTGGGCACCATGGGTGCTGCGGGCAGGGGAAGGGCTGGGGAGTGAGGAGCAAGCCCCTGGCCCCAGCGGTGCTGGCTCCCAGGGCTGGGGCGAGTGCTGAATATGTTTGGCAGAAGGGGCAGTGGAATCTGCCTGAGTTCTGACCAGCCCTGGGCTGGGGCCTTCAGTAGCCTGGGACCTGGTGGGAGACCAGGAGGCAGCCTCCATAGCAGCGTGGCCTCAGGCAGGCCTGGCCAGAGAACTGGCGGGGCTACTGGGAGCCCCGCTCCTGAGGATCCCCGGGGGCTGGGGCGGCCTGGGCCTGGGCACTCACTTCCTTGCCCCAGATGGCCCACGGCTGGGAGCACCAAGGCATTCGGGAGACCCAGTGGGGCTAGTTTTCATCCCAAACCCCAGCAGCCACACCCAGGAGCCCAGATGGGGTTCTCAGGCTTTGGCAGGTGGGTTGGGGTGCGGGAGTGGGCTGTTAGAAGCCCGCTGCCTCTCCTAATGGGAAGCGAGGCCAGGGTCTGAGGTCACTGGGAAAGGCCCAGACTCTCACAACTTAGAGGCATTGAGTCTGAAGGGGGTAGGAGTGAGCGGCAGCAATGAAGGCTTGGAGTTGGGGCTTGAGAGTGGCCAAGGAAGCTGCAGGGACTCAAGGAGTGTTCTTTTGTTTTTGTACAGAAATCATACACACAAAACTTCACACTTCCTAACCAAAAAAAATAATATATATATATATATATATAATATATATATATCTCACTAATGTTAAGGAAAAGCGTCGGTTGTGCAAAAGTCCCCGTGTCCCTTCATCCAGTGGGAGGCTCCCGGGTGGGGGTCCGCCCGCTGGGCTGCTTGAGAGCTTCCTCCCAGCCTTGTGGTCCAGAGCAGTGGCGGCCGTGGGGGCGGAGGCCTCTATCTGGACGTGTCCATGTTCTCCTCTTTAAAGTTACTGCAGTGCTCAATCACCTTGCTGGAGACCACGGGAGAGAGGATCAGAGGGCGGCCTTGGGTCGGGTGGGCCTGGCTCCTCCCGGCAGATGAGGCCACTGGATTTGCTAGCAAATGTCAGCAGTGATGCTGATGCTGACGGAGGAGGTGTGTTTAGGGGTGCTGGCGGGGTGGCTGGCACATGCCGAGTGCCCAGGACATGGCACCTGTGGCCACCAATACGATCGGCCCCCTGTGCCCCCCTCCTTCCTCCTCGGGCCTCCCTTCCCTACCTCTCAGCCCCAGGGCCTCTCTGTTTAGGGGCTCCCCTGAATTGGCTCAGGCCTGACTTTCACAACCCTCCCTGCTCCTTTCTTGAGCACCGCTGCCTTCTTCACTTTCCCCCCGCCTACCCGGGCAGCCTACTAGCGGTCCCCAGACTGCCTGCGTGTCAGATTTGCCAGGAGATCCTGGGCCTGAGGCAGGCTAGGTGGGGCCAGGGCAGCCGTGCCAGCATGAGGGCCCCTGACACCCTCCAGCGGCCAGGCCCGGTGCAGCGGTCTCGGGAACCCCTGCCACTGGTGCTCAGAGCCCTGGTCTTGCGCCCCCTCCAGACTGACCCTTGAGAACCGCTGCCCCACTGCAGTCAGGTGTCACCTGGGACCTTGGATGGACCTTGGGTTGGTCGGGGACAGGGGGCAGTGTTCACTGCAGCCTCCATGTGCTAAAGAGGCGCCCACTGCCTCTTAGGAAGTAAGGGGTGCCCAGAGGGGGACAGGAGTGCGATGGGCGGAGTGACTTCTGAGCTCCCGCTTGGTGCCGCTCACACCTGCTTCAGACAGGCCGGCTGGCTTGGATATACATCTCAGGTCTTACAGAGATGTGCAAAGGGACTGGGGTAGACGTTCAAAGGGACTGGCAGCTCTGCCCTGTGCACAGCTTCACACCCCCACGTGTGCAAACCCATTTGCACTCGCCTGCCAGTTCTCTAGAATGTACTTTGCCACATGGTGTCCTCTTTCACTGGAAGGTCTTTGGCCAAAAATAATGAATTCTGACCTGACTCGGTAAGGGCCAGGGAGGAGAGGATGGAATTCACTGGAGTGAGAGAAAATGAAGCTTACGGAGGAGGGCAATGATGCCCTGAGCAGAGCTGGATGATCTAGTTTCCGGCCACACTGTGGCCGAAATGACACTCAGGGAGGGCCCCGCTGGACAGCAGTATGCTGTCTGCCTCCACACTTCACTCCGACTTGCCCCCGCGAATCTCAGGGGGCCCCCCATGGTGTCCCCCGCTCCCCCACACCGAGGCTGCAAGCAGAAACACTGCCCGTCTCTTACCGGGCCATTTCCTTCGTCTCCTGCCGAGCGGTCGCCATCTTGATCATGTCCCTCAACAGGGGCAGCCCCCCTTCTTTGATCAGCAGGGGGCAGTACTTGTCCGCTGTGGGGAGGGGCAGACAGCAGGTGACCAGGTCGGTCTTCCAGCAGCCTGTGGCCCAGAACCCACCCTTGCTGCGAGGGCTGCCCTCCCCGAGGGGTGGGGGGAGTGGAGACGCAGGCCTGGGTGAGGACTGCTGCACCTGGGAGCCGCCTGTTTGCCCAGCCCCATGGGCCCGAGTTCCTGGGCCCACTGGGGGAGCAAGGGGTGAGTCCTTGGAAAAGGCTACTTTGGGAGGCAGCCACGTTTCTTTCCACAGCTCACCCATGGGAAATAACACCCAAACCAGTGGCTTCCATTCTCGGAGAAGTTTTTGTGAAAATACAGATTCCTAAGCCCTGCCCTTGGGCATTCTGAGTCAACAGACCCAGGAACCCGTATTTATTTGTATTTTTAACAGTATACCACCAGGTGATTCTGGTGGCCAGCCAGGTTGGAAGCAGCATTCCTTCCTACTATTGGGTGGTTCACGGTTCACGCCAATAAAGAATGTTCTAGTGCTCAGGATCCAGGGCTTTATGCTCCATGGAGAACACGGGCATTTCAGTGGACCCTCCCCACCCCTCAACCCCCGCCCCCTCTATGTAGCTATGTAGTCAGAGCTCCTTTCACGATCTCCATTTTACAGATGAAAGAACCGAGGTTCAGAGGGAGGAAGCAATTCATCCAAAGTCATTCTGGAAGCTTGTCCGAGGGAGTCCCAGCTCAGGGCTCTTCCCTCTGGACTATACTGCCTCTCTGCGGTCAGGTGCTACTTTTTAGTAAGACTAACCTCAAGTAGTAATGAAAAAGACTGATGCTTATTGAAGAGTTGGTATGGGCCAAGCACTGTTCCAAGCACTTTACATGCCTTATTTCACAGCAATCCTATTTTTATCCCATTTTAAAGATGAGGAAATTGAGGCACAGAGAGGTTGAGAAACCTGCTCAAAGTAACACAGCTACAGCCAGTGGGAGAGCCAGGGTTCAAAGCCAGATGTCTGCCCCCAGAACCCGCACTCTTTGATCCATTTTGCCAGTTAACAGGACTGAGCAGGATCCAGGCACCGGACTGGGCACTTCGTGCTGGTTCTCTTTTCACATTGATCTTATGAGGTAGGCATTATCGCTGTCCCCATTCTACAGAGGAGGAAACCGAGGCCCAGAGAGGTTAAATAACCTGCATGAGGTTGCGTAACCAGTAAGAAAGAGAACGAGGGTCAATCCTGGCCTGTCATCCAGGTCTCCTAGTGCTATCCCTTCTTTCTCCTCCCCGCAAAGCCACCCAGTAGAGGACGGTTCAGGCTCTTCTATGGGAGGATGGGGTGCTCTCTGAGGAATAAAGTTAGAATTCTGTTAAAGTTCTCTCCTGTTCCCTTGGAAAGCTGTTTCCTTGGGGCTTAGTTCTTTGGGTTGGTCTTACTCTGTCCTGCAGAAGGCATGGAGATTTTTGACTCTTCACTTCTATGGAAGCAGGAGACATTAAGAAAGCTGTCTGGGAACTCTGGATGGGCCGTCGGGCCTGCCAGGCTTGCTTCTGGTGATGGGGCAGGGCCAGCCATTCTGCTGGGCGTCCCACAGATGCTGGAAAGTGGAGGGCTGTGTTCCCAGGTACAGAGACTGACGCCAGCTCTCTCAGTACTACACACCCAGGTTCTAAGTTCCCTGGGGGCAAGTGTGCTTGCTGCCTGGTGAGCAGCCCCATGTCTGAACGAAGGGCGAGTGGGTACTCACGGTAGACAGACACTAGGTTGTACAGGGCCCAGGTGGCCCAGTGCTGGCTGACAGGGGAGATGCCCTGGGGAAGGAGGCGAAGAATTGGCTCAAATGACCTGTAGAAAGACAGAGATCAGGGTCACTTCTGATGCCAAGGATTGGGGTAGTGCATCTTCTCCTGCTGGAAAGCTCCTTCCTGGAGGGTCCTACAGACAACCCACGAGCAGGCTGGTAGGCTGCAGCGGACACGGGGGCATCGGGCCCTTCAGGCTCCATGAAGGGAGCTCGCTTGTGAGAGAGGTCAAGAGCAGGGGCATGTAAGGGAGGCAGGAGGGACGCTGATTAGGCGGTGCAGAAATGGGGGACCTCGGCAAGGAGGAGAGAGCTGGTCTTGGGGAGGCAGGGAGAAGTACCATGAGAAACAGAGATGAGACTGTACTTCTTATAATGGCCTTCTACAGGCCACCCTGGAGTCATGGCCCCAGAGCCTGAAAATGCAAACCCCCTGGGCCGGTGACTCCAGCTCATGTCTCCTTGGAAACGGCAGTCACCGGAGCCGGGGCAAAGCCGGAAGCATGAGCCTGCTCCTCCCAATGTCGGTTTTCTTTTTTTTTTTTTTAAGATTTTGTTCATTTGTCAGAGAGAAAGAGCACAAGCAGGGGGAGTGGCAGGCAGAGGGAGAAGCAGCCTCCCGCTGAGCAGGGAGTCCGATGCGGGGCTCGATCCCAGGACCCCGGGATCATGACCTGAGCTGAAGGCAGACACCTCACCAACTGAGCCACCCAGGTGTCCCCCAATATGGGTTTTTGATGTCAGTGTCACAGTACAGGATGGCCCATCCACACCCAGAAAGTGACCCAGTCACGACCTGAGGAGGGAGACCCATATCTTGTGGCTGCAAATCCAGCCATAAGATAGGAAGACTGGACACCAGCTGCACTGCAAAGAACGAACTCAGTGCAGAGGGAAAGTGCTGGGAGGGGGGCGCCAGACTGTGAGTAGGGGTTCTTTCAGGGAGCAAGCTCACGAATGGTTTCTGTTTTGTTCCCTAGTGCGTGTCGCTATTTTCCTCTTCTTTTTCTTTCTTCCGACAAATAAACACGTCTCAAATGTTTGTAAACAGCAAGCTTTGGGTACACTGATGTACATGAAAGATGCACCCAGCTTTATGGGTGAGATGTGTGCTGTGTGGGGGCTGTCCCTCAGGGAGAGCCGACAGGAGATGAGAAGAAAGGCCTTGCTGGGAACGAGCGTCCTGTCTGCCCACGGACCCCACTCACACACCCCTCCCTGCCATCCCCGCTCCGCACCTGTAATTGATATTTCTCCGAGAGTTGATGTCCCAGCTCTGGATGGCTGCCCACATGCGCTCCTCCACCTCCTCCCGCTGGGGTTCGCAGATGCCCCACGCCTCGGGCCCATCGAACATGATGTGGGAGAGGACACCGCAAGCATTGTATGAAACCTCAATCCCATCGGCCTTGCTCTCCAGCAGGTTGCTGCCAAGAAGAGAGAAAAACCCCTCCAAGTCCCTCTTCAGACACCAGCTGCTGGGCCCCAACTCACAAACCGGACGCCAGAGGCGTTGCTGACTTATCACCTATTATCCATACCCAGGTGACTATTCTAAAGATCTGAGGTCGCTGAAGACATAGCTACAAGAGGACCATTTATGGAGGCTTGAGAGAAACCACTTGTAGACGGAAGGTGACATTTCTAACGGAAACCTAGGCAGAGAGCAGTTGCTGCAACTGAACACAGACTACAGCCCTGAGCATCCTGGCAGCCAAGGCAAAAAGGGAAAGAAATACCAACCTGAAGACACTGATAAACTGGGAAGTCATTAGCTGGGGCCGCAGCTCCTTCACCTCGGCCACATTTCCCAAGAGTCCTAGCATGTTCCGATGCAGTTCCTGCTTCTCTGGGAATTCCTGGCAAAATGAGAGCCATTGGGGCCACATTGATTAGAACTCAATTAGTGTCTGGTACTGTTTTGTTGTGAAGTGTCTGGTACTGTTAGCCTAGAAACTTTATGGGTATCTGGCCACTCCAACTAGACAAAGAGGGGGAGCAATATGCTGCCCTCACACCTTCTATTGCACCAAGTACAGTGCTGGGTACATACCATACAGGATTCAAATGGTGGGGACTCCTTGCTACAAAATCAAAGGCTGAGTGGAGAGCTGACCTAAAGAACTCCAAAGAGGACAAACATGGTTCTATTTGCCAAAAGCTCAAAATATTAGTTGAAGGGAAACTTTGTAGAAACTAGAGCAAGAAAATAAGGGATGAGTTTTATATTTATTTATTTTTTATAATTGCTACCATTTTTTAATTTATTTTTTTAAAGGAAGCTCTATGCCCAATGTGGGGCTTGAACCCATGACCCTGAGATCAAGAGTCGTATGCTCTACCAACTGAGCCAGCCAGGTGCCCCAAGGATGACTTTTAAAAGACCATCCTCCTGGACAGAATTCTATCCAGCTGACATCCCAGTGCACCCCAGCCAGACTGTGGGCAGCCCGAGAAATCGCTATGGAGAAGGATGGGACTGGGTTTTCCCTTGGAGGGAGGGCTCTAAGAGAGGGGTGGGCCTGTAAGTCGGCCCCCACTGCCCTTCCGTGGGAACCATGGGGAGAGGGGTTGCTGACGGATCTGGGTGGTGGGACGCCTGGGGACAGAAGGGTGGCCGTGTGCGCGGTCAAGGAGGCCGCCTCGCTGGACACGGGCAGTACCTTCAGGCAGTCCAGGAAGAGCTTCATGCCATTGAAATTGAGGAACATCTCGCAGTTGTCGGGCGTCTCGTCCGTGATGTTCCATAGGGCGCTCCAGGAGAACTCCATCACCTGGTCACACTGAAGGGAGAGGTGGGCTCAGCACAGCTCACCTGGAGGGCCCTGCAAGCTCCTGACACCTGCGAGGGCGCCCCCTAACAAAACCTGGGTATCCTCCGGGGATAAACCATCCCCTCTCGGGCTAGGGGAGGGGCAGAGTGGCTTCATGAAGGCTCGACTTACTATCTTATCCAGCAGCTTCTTCTGAATCAGCTTCAGCATGGTCTGTGGGCAGAGAAGAGAACTTGCGGGGGGCCAGGGCTCAAGAGCTACTGTGTCCCCCAAGAACCAAGATGGATAGAGGAGAATCAGCACTTCTACTCCTGGCTAATGCATCCTGAAAAGACCAAATGTGCCTATCTGGTCTAGGGGGGGCTGTTTGAAGAAGTACAACCCACACACTTGGTCCCTAGCATCGGGAGACCGGGGTGCTAGTCCTGGCTCGACCCTAGTTCCCTATGTAGCTTTGGGCCCGGCCCTCCCCTCTGCGGGCTCCAGCCTATCCAGCGCCAAAGTAAGAGGAGAACAGATGCTCCTTCCTCATTCTTTCCTTCCACTCTTCAGCAAATACTTACTCTTCCCACTGTGTGCCAGGCCCCATGCTAGAAAGTGCTGGGGATGTCATGACGGGAGAAGGAACAAGTGTGGCATCTTTCCCTACAGAACTCACAACCCAGGGGGGAGGCCGACATTAAGCAGACAGTCCCTCAGATACTTATTTAACCCCAGTGAGAAAGACCTAACAGGGGACCTGGTCCGAGGAGCCAGGAGTGGCGTGGACAGTGGGACCAAGTGGGCAGCTGGAGCGGCTGGGAGAAGATGCCAGAATGTTTTAGGCGGAGCAAATCTACGGGGACATAAGCTACATTCACGGTGAGGAGATTCTCCCTTTGGTCTAGCTGAAATCCTTCAGGCGGCAGAGGGGCTCTGGAGAAGGCAGGCAGGGAGGGAGGGGAGGCGGGGCCACCCGAGGGCACGCACCACAACGAAGCCCATCTTGCCCACGGCCTCCTTGTGGTCATTGTCCACTTGGCAGACCAGGGCGTTGCACAGGTGCACGGCGATGCGCTGGATCGACTCGTCCTGCCGAGTGGGGTTGAGGATGCTGAGCAGGAGCTCGTTGACCCGGCGGTACTGGAATTCCAGCTCCTCGGGGATGCTGAAGTTACAGAGGGTCAGACAGCAGTTCCGCTGGACCTGGGCCGGGCCGGGAGACAAGGGAAGCACAGTCAGGGTCGGACTCGGGAGCTGGACTCCAGGGGCGCTCTAGAGGCCTGAGATCATCCAGAGCTGAAGTGGTCCGGGAAGGCTTTCTGGAAGAGGAGCCTCCAAGGCTATTTTTTTTTTTTATGTTTAAAAAAACTGTAAAATATAATTTTCATGCAGAGAGGACATAAAACACAAATGTATAGTTTTACGAGCATTTATGAAGCACACGAGCTTTTTGGCAACCATGTAACCACAGCCTGGGTCAGGAAGTAGAACACTGCCGGCACCTGGAAATTCCCATAGGTCCCTTCCTGGTCATCAGCCCCTCTCCACACTAGCGAGAACTACTGTCCCTGCTAGTCTACACGAAAGATTCTCTAGCATCTTGCTTATTGTGGTTTACCATAGGTTTGCAAGATCAACTAAGTTGTTATGAGCAGCTGAAAAGCATTCATTTGTCCACTGCATTACGGTACTTGAATTTATTCGCCCATCCCACTGTTGGTGGACATCTGAGGGGGCTTCAGTGTTTGGCAACTTCAAACGATGCTCGTGCATGCATCTTGGCGTCCACACACATGGTTTCTTCTGGGTCACACGGCGTGCATGTCTTCGACTTGACCAGGTGAACCAGACTGTTTACCAAAGTGGCTGTACCAGTTTGCAGTTCTACTGGCAGAGCAGGAGGCCTCACGCTCCTCAACATCTTCGATTTCTTTTTGCGTTGTCTGTGGATTTTTTTTTTAAGTATTCTTGGAGCATATGCCTGTAATTTCATTTCCTTCCATCCTTTCTCGTTAGATTTTGGGAGATCATTGTACTTCATTAATTACGTAATTTAGAGGGTAGCCCCTTAGTTAACTTTTTCCCCAAAATTATACATACATTTTTTAATTTGAGAAAAAATTTATTTTAAATTACAAGAGCCAATACTTACTCACTGTAAAAAGTTCAAATAGTAGTATTTGAGCAAAAAGTTAAAGTCTCTCACTTTATTTCCCAGAAGTAATCGCTATTAAAAGTTTGGTGCATGTCCTTCTAGATTTCTCTATCACGCAAATACAAATATATATTTGGGGGAGAGGTGAGGCAAAAAAAGATATTATATATATTGGTCCAAAACTTTTCACTTATCAATATGCAGTGGACATCTTTCCACATTAGGGATGTACAGATTTACCATAATATCCCATTGTGGGGGTATGTTACTTTTCCAGGTCCCTGTTGCTAAAACATTCTGGTTTCCTCTAATTTATCTTTAATTAAAAAGGGTGGATGTATGTATAACTTCTTCCTCTAAAAAACATTTGAATTGTGGAATACATAGGCCCAAAAATCAATGCATTTCCAGTTTTGGCAAATTCTGCCAGTTGGCCTCCAAAACGGTGGTACAATTCATACCTCACCAGTGAGAAGTATGTGAAAGTACTCTCCCCTGACCTCTGTCAACGCTGAGGATCATCGATCTCTTGAGATGAAATGTGGTATCTCGTCATTTTAATTTCCATTTCTTTGATAGAGTTTATTAATTTGTTTGGGAGTCTTCAACTAGCATTTTTGTCAAAAAAAAAAAAAAAAGAAAAAGAAAAAAAAGCCCTTTTACCTGATGATAAGATCAATCTCAATGTAGAAAACAGTTGCTCTAAAGTCTGGAGTTGGCAGGCAGTGGGAAAGCAGGCCTTCTCATCCCTACAGAGACTTTCAGGAGGATAATTTGAAAGTACGTCCCAAATGCTTTAAAAAGACACCTACCCATTCACTGCCCTGGCAATGCCCCTTTTAGTCATGTATTACAAGGATAAGCAATTGAGTAGAGTCAGCAAAGCCTTATTTGAAATAGCACACAGGGGCTAACTCAGTGACTATAGCCCGGGCCCGTGGGTCAGCCCGGCCTGCTACTCTGTGGGGATGGGGCTTGGCCACTGCCTCCCAGCTCCAGCTCACAGTGCGCTCCAGAGTGGCCTTCCCTGGATGAGGATGCTGAACACTGTGCTGATAACCAACAACTATAACACAACGGTTAAGCCCAGCTGCGAGGGGGAGGAGAGCTGGACTGGGGACAACTTTCACTCTGTAGTTAACACATTTTCTTTTTTCTTTTTAAGATTTTATTTATTTATTTGACACTCAGAGAGAGAGCACAAGCAGGGGGAGTGGCAGGCAGAGGGAGAGGGAGAAGCGGGCTTCCTGCTGAGCAAGGAGCCTGACAAGGGACTCGATCCCAGGACCCTGGGATCATGACCTGAGCCGAAGTCAGACACTTAACCGACTGAGTCACCCAGGCGTCCCAACACATTTTCATATCATGGTCAACCCTTGGACAACCTGAGAGTTAGGGGCACCGACCTCCTCCCCACCCACTACCGTGCAGCTGAAAATCCACGAATAACTTCTGACTCCTCCCAGAACTTCACCACTGATACCCTACTGTTGACTACATAACGTCAGTAGTCAATTAACACATTCTGCATGTTATATGTGGTACATATTGTAGTCTTACGATAAAGTAAGCTAGAGCAAAGAATACGTAAGGAAATCATGAGGAAGAGAAAATACATTGACAGTGTATACTGTATTTGTCAAATAAAATCTGCATCTGGGGTGCCTGGGTGGCTCAGTCAGTTAAGTGTCCAGACTCTCGGTTTTGGCTCAGGTCATGGTCTCAGGGTTGTGAGATAGAGCCCTGTTGTCGGGCTCTGTGCTAGGCACGGAGCCTGCCTAAGATTCTCTCTCTCCCTCTGCCCTTCCCCCCTGCTCCTGCTTGATCTCGATCTCTCTCAAATAAATAAATCAATCTGTTTTTTTTTTTTAAGATTTTATTTATTTATTTGACAGAGAGAGACACAGCGAGAGAGGGAACACAAGTAGGGGGAGCGGGAGAGGGAGAAGCAGGCTTCCCGCTGAGCAGGGATCCCGATGCGGGGCTTGATCCCAGGACCCTGGGACCATGACCTGAGCCGAAGGCAGACGCTTAACTGACTGAGCCACCCAGACGCCCCTGAATAAATCTGTTTTTTAAAAAAAGGAGTGCCTGGGTGGCTCAGTAGGTTGAGCATCTGACTCTTGATTTCAGCTCAGGTCATGATCTCAGAGTCGTGGGATCGAGCCCTCCATCGAGCTCCGGGCTCCGTGGCTCCGTGGCTCTGTGCTCAGCATGGAGTCGGCTTGTCCCTCTTCCTCTGCTCCTCCCGTAACTCCTTCTCTGTCTCTCTCTCTCTCTCAAATAAATAAATAAATAAAATCTTTAAAGAAGAAATCTGCATCTAAGTGGACCCGCACAGTTGAAACCAATGAGGTTCAAGGGTCAGTGGTGCTTGAATTTGTTTTCAAGCATTAGACGTCTTACTTTTATAATCAGAAAAAAAACATTAAGAGTTCTGTTGTAAAAATGTTTGTTGATCTGGGAGATGGTCACATTCAGAAGACACTGTTGAAATAAAAATCCACGTTATGCAAACAGTAAGTGCAGAATGACCCCATCTACTAAATAAACATGCATGGGCGAAATCCAGAACAACTGGTATCCAACATCAACGGTGGCTATCTGTGTGTGGTGGGATTATGGGTGTTTTTTTTTTTCTTTCTATCTGTAATTATAATTTTTCTAAGGTCAAAATTCAAAATTTGTGTGACTTTTATAATAAAAGCAGCTATTGGAAAACAATCCCTCCTCCCCCGGCAGCAGAGTGTTACTGGGCAGAAGGGCTGAGGAGTCAGCATGAGCAGAGGCCCAGGGGCAGGAGGAGAACAGGGTCCCTGGGTGGGGGGTGGCCGTGGGGGATGGACTGGTCAGGTGGGGCCGGATTACAGGGTCCTGAATGCCAGGTCCCAGAGTCTGGGAGGGATGCCGTGGGTAAGGGCGGGTGCAGTACAGAGCCAGGCGGCAAAGGATGGCCCCTGAGGGACCAGGTTGGTGAGGCTGGGACACAGGGTGCACGGGAAAAGGAGGGGCTGGGCCTGAGCATGCAGGGCTGTCGTGGGTAGGGGGCTCACCGTCACCTCCTGGTAGGATTCCATGCCATTCAGCACCACCTGGATGACCTGTCGGCGTAGCTTGACGCTCTGCTCGGAGCGGTACTCAGAATTGGTCAGGTAGAAGAGGGCAGCGCTGCCCGTGACTTGAATGTTCTTGTCATACTTGTGGCACTTGAGGGCCGTGATGACCAGCTGTAGGAAGACAGGATAGGCCTGGGTGGGCACGTCCCATTCAAGTTGTGCAAGGCCAGGCCTAGGGCTCTGCCAGGGGGCTGGGATAGGTCCTCTGGGCTACAGCTTAGCCCAATCCTGTTCTCCGAGAGAAGTGAGGGGCAGAAACTAGGAGAGGGCCACAGGTCTGGGATAAGGCCAGTGCTGGGATAAGTCAGGCCGGGGGTTCGGGGGTAGGGCTGCTGGTGTCCAGGGCATGAGGAGGAGGTGCAGAGGAGGGACGGGGGCTCTGGCTCAATCAAATCCAGCACCTGCCAGCTGGGGATGGGCAGGAGACCAAGGACCCCCGGGGTTGAGGCTGACCTTCAAGGCCCGAAGAAGCTGGTTGCAGCGCTCGATGCGTGCGATGTCAAAAAGCAGGTTGATGGCCCGTGAGGTGATCTCAGGCCTATGCTCCGTGTAGGCCTCTATGGCATTCAGCACCTGCTCCTCATTTTTGTCACCACTTACCTGGGAATGGAACATGCTCAGAACCACCCGGAAGAGGCCAAGTGGTGGGATCCCTAGATCCCAGCTCCATCTCTAGCCCCACGGTAGACACCGTGGGGCCCCCAGCCCACCCCCTTCCCTTGTCCCAGGGCTCCATACTCGTCCCCTCCCCGGCTCCCTCTCTCACTTTGTAGGCGGGAATGTGTGTCAGCCGGCACAGGGAGGTCTCGAAGAGCCCAAGGAACTGCAGTGGCCTCTTCAGGGCCCGGAAAGGCATGATGCTGCTCTTGGAAGGCTCAATGCTGGGGGAAGAGGGTGTCGGGTCAGTGGCCTATGGACGGGGGCTGCCCTGGGTTCATTCAGGAGGGCTCCTCCCTGAGGGTGGCTAGGCGTTTACTTGGGGCCCTCTTCTAGGCCCTCCTGTCTCATATTTTGGGGACATAGACCCCCACCTCTTGCCAGAAAGGTGGCAAGGTCAAATTGTATAACTTGTGGGACGGGAGATACTGTTGCAACCACCTTTGGAAAATACTGTGTGCCCTCCTAGTGAGGACTTGTCCACTTTATGTAAAGTTCTACCAACAATCATGAAGGACATGCCCATCAACCAAACCCCGCGAACATATGGCTGGTAATAGGGCTTATAGCCAATTATAGCTGGATGGGTTTGAATCGGATCTCTCAACCAACCGAGCCAGGAAGCAACCTATCTGCTGTGATACCTAATGCATGGTGGACACTGCTGGCCCATCCTACCACCACCACCGATCTCTAGCCAGGCTGAGTGTCCTAATTTCCTGGTCACTCTTCAAGCTTGCACCTTCCAGTCTTTGCATATGCTGTTCCCTCTGCTGGAACACCTTTCCTCTGGCAAACTCAGAAGGAGCTTTCAGGACAGCTTGGATGCCATTCTTCCTTCCTCTTTCCTGATCCTCAGGGCAACCCCACAGCCCTGTGCCTCCCCTACCACAGTCCTATTAATGACTCCTCTGTCCCCATTAGCTCGTACAGACTCAAGAGGGCAGGGCCTGCTTCGTTTCTTTATCTCTAGCACCCAGCACAGGACTTGGCTCGGTAAATGCTTGTTGAATGACACCCTGCTGGCAACCATGGCGGGTGGGTCCCCACCTAGTCTGCCCTGCCTCCTCGTCCATCTTGGAGATGCTGCAGTTCTCCAGGATCATGTGGCCAGAGATGTCCAGGGACATCAGGTTCCCCAGCTTTTGCACAAAGAGGCTCAGCACCTTGCGAGTCAGCTTGAACTTGTAGTAGCTGGAGAGGCGGTCTCGGGAGATGTCCAGGTGTCTGGAGATTGGAGTGGGGGCCAAAGGTCAGGAGCTGGACATGGGTTGGGGCTTCCTCAGAGACCCCTGCTCTTTCAGCCCACGGCAGGGGAGGGCCCATCCCTGCCACAGCTGCTCCAGGGCATTCTGGGGAAGAGCCTGCTGGCACCCCAAGGCCCTGAACAGCCGGGATGCAGCCAAAACACTGGGCGTAAGGACGGGGACTGACTCTTCCCAACCCACTTCTGCCTGGCCAGGGGCTCACAAACCTCCTGGGACTGCCAACCCCCACCCGCCACCCTTACCCCAGTGAGCTCCGGGCCAGCAGCTCACCGTAGCTTGTGCAGCTGGACGATGACCCGGATGTGATCGTCTGAAAGGTCCATGTTGTAGAGCACAAGGGACACCAGGCTGTCTTTCCACTGGGTTAGGAAGGCCGCATCGCTCGTCTGGATGCCTGAGAGGTCCAAGGCAGCCAGGGAGTTGAGTGGCCGTAGCAGGGACTCCACAGGGACCCCGTCGATCATGCGGCCCAAGTTGAGGAAGCGTAGGCGGCTAAAGCCCTCAAAGGTGAAGTCCTTGACCAGCACCTGGCAGGTGGGGTTGACGAGGCACTCGTCTTCACAGCCCCCTGGGTTCTCCTCCTCATAGAAAATGTTTGCACAGCCGAAGAGGCTCAAGGACACCAGGGTGTGGCTAAAGCTCCTCAGCGTCTGCAGACTCTTGGCGGACAGCTTCTCACAGTTGGTCAGGTACAGCTCCACCAGGTCCTGGTAGCAGGCACAGCTCTGTCATCACCACAGCCCACCAACCCCCGCCTCCGGTGACCCCCAGGCCTGACCCCCGACCACAGGCAGGCTTGGGGAGGGGCGTGCATAAGGAGGGGGCACGCCAGATTCTTGTGCTGGAGGCGAGCGGCCCGGCCCTCGACTCACTGACCCTCTCTGGCCGGCCTCCCCATGGCCAGCCCCCCTGGCTGGCGATGCAGGTCTCACCTGCTTGCGGATGGCCTCCAGGTCCTGGTCCTGCACCAGGTCCTCGCGGAGGTGGATCCGGGTGAGGCGGGTGCTGCGGGGGTCTGAGAAAAGGCTGAAGAAGCTCTCGTGCGGCTCAAAGTTGCAGGCGGCGTTGACCAGCTCCACATACCTGGGAGGGAGGAAAGCCTGGCTAGTGGGAGGGGCCCGGGGACCCTTGTCCTCTCTAAAGGCTCAGCTCCAGGCGTCCTGTCCCTGGAACCTTCCCTCACCACCCATCAGCAGCAGCCTCCATCTCCTCCGTCCCTTGCCCCTCTTGCTAAGAGCACCTGCTTGGATCCTGACCCCCTTGCCGGTGAGATGAAGGGTGGCCCCAGGCACCAGGGGGGCAAAGGTGAGAAAGGGGCCTGTAATCAATAGCAAATCCCAAACTCTTCCTCCCAAAGCCGTACACATCTATAACAAACACACATGTCCACATTCCTCATTTTAAGCCAGCTTCTGTTCCTTGACCGGCCCCTCCCAGGACCCTTTCCAATACGAAGATTAAGCCAAGGGGTTTAACATTCCCAGCTGGGTGCAGGGCAAGCACTCAATAAAACTCTGTTTGAGATGCCGGTTGATACAAGAATCTTGGTCTGGTGGAAAAGGCTTGGGAGTCAAACACTCTGGACTCTAAATCCTAGCTTGGCTGTTCACTACTTGGGCAACTTGACACGAGTAATGGAACTTCCCCAGACTTTAGTTTCTTCATCTGTAAAATGGACATAACTCTGGTCTGCAAAGCGTCCAAGCGAGTGCCTGACCCACATTAAATGCTCAGAACATGATTACAAGTCGGGCTCTGTCCTCGGGTCACATACAAGTTCCCACTCTTTCTCCTTTCTTTGATTCAGATTTTATTTTATTTATTTATGTTTTTAAGATTTATTTATTTGAGAGAGAGAGAGCAAGCAGGGGAGGGGTAGAGGGAGAGGGAGAGAGTGAAGCAGGCTCCCTGGTGACTGTGGAGTCCAATGTGGGGCTCGAGCTCATGGCCCTGAGATCATGACCTGAGCCGAAATCAAGAGTCAGCCACTCAACCGACTGAGCCACCCAGGCACTCCCTATTTTATTTTATTCTTTAAAGATTTTCGATTTCCGGGGCGCCTGGGTGGCTCAGTTGGTTGAGCGACTGCCTTCGGCTCAGGTCATGATCCTGGAGTCCCGGGATCAAGTCCCGCATCGGGCTCCCTGCTCGGCAGGGAATCTGCTTCTCCCTCTGACCCTCTCCCCTCTCATGCTCTCTCTATCTCATTCTCTCTCTCAAATAAATAAATAAAATCTTTAAAAAAAAAAAAAAAGATTTTCGATTTCGGGCGCCTGGGTGGCTCAGTTGGGTAAGCAACTGCCTTCGGCTCAGGTCATGATCCTGGAGTCCCTGGATCGAGTCCCGCATCGGGGTCCCTGCTCGGCCGGGAGTCTGCTTCTCCCTCTGACCCTCCCCCCCTCATGTGCTCTCTCTCTCTCTCTCATTCTGTCTCAAATAAATAAATAAAATCTTTAAAAAAAAAAAAAAATTTTTGGATTTCGGCTCAAGTCATGTCTCAGGGTCTTGGGATGGAGCCCTGTATTTGGCTCAGTGGGGAGTCTGCTTGGGATTCTCTCTCTCCCTTTCCCTCCTGCCTTTCCCACTTGTGCTCTCTCAAATAAATAAATACATTTTTTAAAAAAGATTTTGGGGCGCCTGGCTGGCTCAGTCCATTAAGTGTCTGCCTTCAGCTCAGGTCATGATCCCAGGGTGCTGGGATCGAGCCCCACATCGGGCTCCCTGCTCGGCTGGGAGCCTGCTTCTCCTGCTCCCTCTGCCCCTCCTGCCCCTCTATTTCTCAAATAAATAAATATTAAAAAATTTTTTTTGAAGATTTTATTTTTAAATAAACTCCACACCCAATGTGGAGTTCAGACTCACAACCCCAACCCTGCTCGGCTGGGAGCCTGCTTCTCCTGCTCCCTCTGCCCCTCCTGCCCCTCTATTTCTCAAATAAATAAATATTAAAAAATTTTTTTTGAAGATTTTATTTTTAAATAAACTCCACACCCAATGTGGAGTTCAAACTCACAACCCCAAGATCAAGAGTCGCACGCTCCACTGACTGAACCAGCCAGGTGCCCCACAAGTTCCTACTTTTATGTGCAACTGTTTGGTCTAACAAGTTCCCTTCTGGGCATCTAGACTGAACTCCCTGACGTGAGTGAATGCATATCCTATTGCTAGGAGCCTCTAATAGTGGGGAGTCCCCTGGAGGGTCCACATAAAGATTTTCTGAATGATTCGATTCCTGGTCATAGATCCATTATTTGTGTACCAGAGCATAAACATGTTCGTGGCCATGTGCACACACAGACACGTGTTTGTAGGCACAGGTACGCGTGCGCACACACAGAACAGCACAGAACTCCTTCGTTTATATGCAGGTTTCTTTTTTCTTTCTTTTTCTTTTTTTTATTTGTTTATTATTATGTTATGTTAATCACCATATGTTACATCATTAGTTTTGGGGTTTCTTTTTTCTTCTTCTTCTCCTTTTCTTCTTCTTTTTTAAAGATTTTATTTATTGATTTCAGAGAGAGAGCAGAGTGAGAGAGAGAACATGAGTGGTGGGGGAGGGGCAGAGGGAGAGGGAGAAGCAGACTCCCTACTGAGCAGGGAGCCCAATGCAGGGCTTGATCCCAGGACCCTGGGATCATGACCCGAGCCGAAGGTAGACACTTAACCATCTGAGCCACCTAGGCGCCCCATATGCAGGTTTTTATACCCTCTCATAGATGTAATGCGCACTCACAGTTACACACTCAAATCTATCCCATGCTGCAGAAGCCCAGGTGTGTATATATACCCATTCCTTCACATGCACACACTTCCATACACATACCAACGTGCACACACGTGACTTTGTTCTCCTGCACGCACAGATACCCAAGTGTGTGCACACCCCCTCACACGTGTGTATCCATAGCCACATCCCTGTATGGTGCACACGATGGTCCCAGAGCCTCCACATGCGCTCATGCTAAGACTCATGCCCGTGCCCCAGCGCCCCCACTGCTCACTCATTGACGAGCCGGTCACAGATCTCGCTGGGCAGGAAGATGTCTGGATGCAGCCGCAGAGTCTCCTTGTCCAGCAGGTAGCCCAATGTGCCATCCAGGTTGCGCAGGCAGAAGTCGGTGCAGAGGGCCATCAAGGACTCGGGGGTGTCGGACGCCATGCTGCGGGCAGGCGGGTGGACCAATCCAGGTCAGGGGCCCCTAGGGGCAGCGGTGACTCCCTAGCACTCACAGGATCATTGGCAGAACCACAACCTGGGGGACAGGAAGAAGCTAAGTGAACCACACATAAGAGCCACAACCACTGGCTACCCTATGCCCACTCTCTGAGTAGGGAAACTGAGGCCCCAGATGTCACACTCAAATTAGCAGCTTAGCAGAGACATTCCCCACGGCTCCTGATTCCTTCCCTGCTCCTCTCTGCTATGCCACTAGCGAGGTGTGATTTGACCTGCCAAGAGCAGGAGGCCTTGTCCAAGCATTTTTATGCCTTCACAGTGTCTGTGGGCAGACAAGCTGGGGACTCAATGCTGGGCTGAGGATGATGGGGGCTTCCATTAACAGCCACACTGAGGCATCCCTTACTATGTAACCTAACCTATAAATAGCTGTCACTGTGTGAACAGTCAGTATATGCCGGGGCTTTATAGACATGTTGTCATTGAATCTCATTGTATATGATTAAGAGTGAAGGCTCCTCCCAAGAGAAATGAAAATATGTGTCCACATAGAAATTATACATTCATGTTCAAAGCGGTATTATTCATAATAGTCAGGAAATGGAAACTACTTTCCATTAACTGATGCATGGATAAACAGAAATGGTCTGTCCATACAATGGAATATTATTCAGCCATAAAAGGAATGAGGTATTGACACATGCTACAACATGGACAGACCTTGAAAACATTATGCTAAGTAAGAGAAACCAGACACAAAAGGCCATATACTGTATGGTTCCATTTACATGTAATGTCTAGCCAGAATAGGAAACCTGTGGAGACAGAAGTAGATTAGTGGTGGCCTAGGGCTGGGGGGTTGTGAGGAATGGGGAATGACTGATAAGAGGTACAGGGTTTCTTCTGGGGTGATAAAAATATTCTAAAATTGATGATGGTGAGAGTCACACAACTCTGAATATACTAAAAACCACTGAATTATCTATGTTAAACAGGTATACTGTATGGTATAGGAATTGTAGCTCAATAAAACTGTTATTAAAGAACTAAAGTTGAGGGGTGCCTCGCTGGTTCAGTCAGAAGAGCATGCGACACTTGATCTCGGGTTGTGAGTTTGAGCCCCACCTTGGGCAGGGAGCCTACTTAAATAAATAAATAAATAAATAAAGTCAGGGTGCCTGGCTGGCTCAGTTGGTGGAGCATGTGACTTTTTTTTAAAAAATATTTTATTTATTTATTTATTTGAAAGAGAGAGAGAGAGAGAAAGACAGCAAGAGAGGGAACACAAGCAGGGGGAGTGGGAGAGGGAGAAGCAGGTTTCTCGCTGAGCAGGGAGCCCGATGTGGGGGTCGATCCCAGGACCCTGAGATCATGACCTGAGCTGCAGGCAGACGCTTAACGCCTGAGCCACCCAGGCAACCCTAAGGAGCATGTGACTCTTAATCTTAGGGTCGTGAGTACAGATTACTAAAAAAAAAAAGCAACCCTAAAGTCTCCTACTACCTTCATGATCTTGAGCTAGGTAAAGATTCCCTAAATAAGACTCATAAGGAAAAATGATAAACCAATCTGCACCAAAGTGAAGAAACTTCTGTTCATATATACACAAAAATTAATCTAAGATGGACCACGGACCTATATGTGAAGGGTAAAACAACAAGGTTTCTAGAAGAAAATACAGGAGTCTATCTTGTGACTTCAGAGTAGGCAATCATTTCTTTCTTTTTTTTTTTTTTTTAAGATTTTATTTATTGACAGAGAGAGCACAAGCAGAGGGAGAAAGAGGGAGAAGCAGGCTCCTTGCGGGACTCGATCCCAAGACCCCGGGATGACGACCCGGGCCAAAGGCAGCTGCTTAACTGACTGAGCCACCCAGGTGTCCCGAGTAGGCAATCATTTCTTAAACAGGTCACAAAAACCCCCCAGAAACCATAAAAAGAAAAAATTGTACTGCCTTAAAATGTAAGACTCTGTTAATCAAAAGATATCATTAAGAAAAAGGACAAGCCACAGACTAGAAAATATTTCCAATAATATATCCAACAAATGATTCATATTCAGAATATATAAACATCTTCTACAGATCATTTTTTAAAAGATTTTAGCAATTTCTACACCGAGGGCAGGGCTCAAACTCACAACCCCGAGATCAAGAATCCTATGCTCCACTGACTGAGCCAGTCAGGCGCTCCCAAATCATTTTTTTTTTTAAGATTTATTTATTTGAGAGAAAGAGAGGGAGAGAGAGAGTATGTGTGTGCGTGTATGCACATGCACAAGCGAGCAGGGTGAGGGGCAGAGGGAGAGGAGAATTCCCAGCAGATTCCCCACTAAGCATGGAGCCCCACATAGGGCTTAATCTCCCAACTCCAAAATCACGACCTGAGCTGAAATCAAGAGTTGGACATCTAACCGACTGAACCACTCAGGCAACACCCCCAAATTGTTTTAAAAGGACATAGCATCCAACTAAAAAATGGGCAAAAGACTAGAACAGGCATTTCATAAAGAATAGAAAACATATGGACACATATGGAAAAGGGCTCAGCTTCATTAATATCCATAAAACCACAATGAGACACCATTTCCCACCCACCAGAATGGCTCAACTGGAAACAATCCAGGCACTACCAAGCTTGTGCTATGGTGAAGATGGAACAGCGGGATGTCACCCACGCTGCGAGTGGGAGTGTAAATTGGTGCGAATTGACAGTATAATGGAATACTGTGCGACAATATCTACTAAAGCTGAATATGCACATATGTTCAATGTTCAGCAATTCCACTCCTAGGCACACACCCAACAGAGATGCACGTATACATGTTCCCCCAAAGACACAGACCAGAATGTTCACAGCAGCATGATTCAGAATAGCCAAAACCAGAAAAGAATCTGAATGTCCCTGACATTAGAATGAGTAAGTACAGTATACTCACCAATGAAATATTAAGGGCAACGAGAAGGCACAAACTATTGTTAACAAAACAGCTTGGATGAACCTCCCAAGTTTAGTGAAAGGAGTCAGACACAAAAGAGCATGTATCATATTATATACCGAATGAATCCATTCATGTTTTACTCCATTAAGTTAAAAAAAAAAAAAAAGCCAGAACAACCTGATCTGTGGTGGCAGAAGTCAGCAATGAGGTTACTTTGGGGATTTGGCTGGGTGTTGAGAAGCTTCTAGTCCCACATCAGAGTGCTGGATATACAGGTGTGTTCACTTTGTGAATATTCGGGAGCTGTATACCCTGGTATGATTTTTCAAAATGTATATTATAATATACATTTCAATAAAAGTTAAGAAAATGGCCTGGACACCAAAAAGGTCCACATTTAGAGGGGACTGGGGTTCAGTGAAGTGATGCTCTGACAGTATAGCTCCTTAGCTACAGGTGGCTGAGAGAGAATGAAAACTGAACCTTCACATTCAAATTGAATGAACAAGATAGAAAACAATCAACCATTTATAGAACTGAGGAAAGTCAGGAATTAATCCCAAACCATCTTCCTGTCAGAGTCTATATCGGAAAGGGGGGAAAATAGGCAAAAGGAATCCATGGTGTTAAAAGTCAGGATAGTGATTCCCTTTGCAGAGAGGCAGTGATTAGAAAGTGGCAGCAGGGCCTCGGGGACAGGTGTGTTTGCTGGTGCACATTCATCAAACTGTCCACTCACGCTTTCCAGGCCTTTCCCTAGCTAGGTTATACTTCAATAGTTTTTTGTTTTGTTTTTTTTAAGCGCAGGCTCTGTCATCAGATAGATCTATGTTTCAACCCAGTTCTACAATTCACTGTAAATTATTATTTTTTTAAAGATTTTTTTTTTTTTTTTTTTTTATTGAGAGAGAGAGAATGGTAGAGAGAGAGCACGAGAGGGAAGAAGGTCAGAGGGAGAAGCGGACTCCCTGCCGAGCAGGGAGCCCGATGTGGGACTCGATCCCGGGACTCCAGGATCATGACCTGAGCCGAAGGCAGTCGCTTAACCAACTGAGCCACCCAGGCGCCCTCACTGTAAATTATTTAAGCTCTCTGGACCTCAGTTTCTTCATCTGGAAAATGGGGATAATAACCCCCACTTCACAGGGCTGCTGGAGTAAATGAGATGTCGGGAAAATGCTTGGTCTCAGGCTTGATGAGACTGAGTACACAAGAAATGTTGCTTATGATCCCATCTTGCAGATGAGAAAACTCAAGCTGAGAGAGGCTACTCTGTCCAAAGTGGGATTTGAACCTGGTCTCTCGGACTCCATCATATCAACCCTTGGAGAGCTCTGAAGGAGTTCGGGGCCCAGCACTGCCCCTGGCTTCCTGGAGCCCCCGTGTCCATATGTGAGCCTTCGGGGCTGCTCTAGAAATCCGGTGGGCGGCCCCAGAGCCCTGTGCTGTCTGGGATCACAAGGTCTAAGTGCCAGCACCACTACTTACTGGTGCCAGTGCTCTGAGAGCTCTGGAGTCAGGCCCAGCCAGCTTCAAGTCCCAGCCCTGCCGCTTAAGAGCAGGTGAACTTGGGCAAGGGTCTTCACTGCCCTGTGCCTCGGTTTCTTCTCTAAAACAGGGAGCACTGTGTGAGGATAACATGGAATATCGGAAGAGCTTAGCCTGGCACCTGGCCCGTGGTAACTGCTCAATAAAAAGAAGCTACTATTACAATTACGATTATCACCATCACCATCCCTTTCTCCTGCCTCACCTGCCCTGGTCCCCAACAGAGCGGGGTCTGCTCCTGCCCAGGTGCAGTCCTGTGCTCCCCAGGCCTGGGTCTCTTGCCGCAAGGCCCACGGTGCCAGCTTCCCACCGGCTGCGTGCCACCTTGAGGGAAGGCACAATAAACAGGCTGCCTGGGCCACTGGGCACGGCCTTCCCTTCCCTTCATTCTCTTCTAGATCTTCCCTGGTCAACAGGAGCCAGGGAAGAACCGCTGACAGGGAGGCGCATCCTGCTGGAAACCGAGTCCCCTCTCTTCAAGCGGTGACTCAAGGCCTCCTGAGCCACAGCCAGCCTTCTGGCCCACTCGAGGCCTGCTGGGCCCTACGGCAGCCGGCCTGGCCTCCTTCATGGTACTGGCAACAGGCC